TTAGCCGGGGCATGGTAGTGCGTGCCTGTAGTTCCAGCTACTTGGAAGGCTGAGGTGGAAGGATCACCAGAGCTCAGCAGGTAGAGGCTGCGGTGGCTGGGAGTGGCCACTGCACTCCAGTCTGGGCGATAGAGTGAGACTCCAACTCAGAAAAAAAATTAGAGATAAATAGGAAGCTAGCAAAGGAAGTAAGCTCTGATACCACTAGCTGCCAATATACAGTGTTCTTGAGCTTCAATTCTGATAGTCAGAACTGACAGCTGCAAATAATAGGAGGCAAAGAATGAACTCTGTCCAAGTTCTTTCTAATAGAAAACTTCTTCCTAAATCTGTGTATCCAAATGTTTATATCCTCACCAAAAAAGTGAATTAGAAAAAAAGGTATCACCCTACAGAAAAGTTAGAAAGAAATCTTAGCAGAGATTTTGTAACGAGAGACAAGTAAGTATATTGCAGACAATTTAAACAACCAGTTTTTTCTAAAAATCTCTAGAGGATTATTTATTGGAAGTTTAATAGTGATCCCAGGTTACTTGTAGAGGCAAATCTAAATTATCTCTAAAGAAACAGAACTTAGGCTGGGCTTGGTGGCTCATTCTGTAATCCCAGCACTTTGGGAGGCTGAGGCGAGTGGATTGCCTGAACCCACGGGTTCAAGACCCATCCGGGCAACTTGGCAAGACCTCACCTCTACAATAAATCAAAAAAATTAGCTGGACAGTTAGCACGTGCCTGTAGTTCCAGCTACTTGAAAGACTGAGGAGGAAGGATCCCCAGAGCCCAGCAGGTCGAGGTTGCAGTGGCCGGGAGCATGCCACTGCACTCCAGTCTGGGTGACAGTGAGACTCCAACTCAAAAAAAAAAAAAAGAAAGAAAGAAAGAAAGAAAGAAAGAAAGAAAGAAACAGAGCTTAAACCCAGGTCTCATGAAAAATTTTCCATAAATTACTTTACAGTAAAAAGTAGAGTCCAAAGTGAGGCCCAAATTTTACCTGTACAATGACCATCTGTATAACTAACCCTGAATTGTAGCCCACATCTTTAAAATAAAAAATTTTTAAAAATTATTGACAGTTCAGGCACAGTGGCTTGTGCCTATAATCCCAGCATTTTTGGAGATTGAAGTGGGAGGATTGCTTGAACCCAGGAGTTTGAGACCAGTTTAGATAATATAACAAGACTTTGTCTGCAATCAATCAATCAATATTTCAAAAAATTATGCCTGGTGGTGGGCATCTGTAGTCTGAACTACTCAGGAGGTTGAAGTGAAAGGATCACCTGAGCCTAGGATGCAGAGGCTGTGGTGGCCACTACACTCTGGCTTAGGCAACAGAGTGAGATTGACTCAAAAAAAAAGAAGAAAAAGAGGAAAAAAAAAAAAACAGAACAAACAAAAAACCCCACTAAGAAACATAAAATAGGCCATCATAAGCATAAGTCTGCAGAAATAATAGAGGGCAAATTTGGTTCCTAAGAGACTCAGAAAATGGATATGTTGAGTGTGTTCAAAGAAATAAAGGTGACCAGAGGAATTTAAAGTATAATCAAATAGGATTTCAAGAAATAAAGAATATATAAATATTCAAGTTTCAAAATTAACAGATGGGATAGCGGAATGAACACAGATGAAAAGAGTTATTAGTGTATTATAATAGAGATCTGAAAAAATACATGAACTACATCACAGAGAGATAAAGAGATAGAAATTTGGAAGATAAAGACAATAAGAATAAAGTGAAAAGGTTTAACTTTCCTAGGAAATAATAAAGAGAATTAAAGAAAGACAATGTTCAAAGAGATTTGACTAACAGCTTTCCAGACTGTGTAAATGTGTAAATGAGTGAAGCATCAGTTTCAGAATTACAATAAATCCTAAGTATCATAAGTGAAAAGAAATGCACACTAAAATACATCAAAGCAGCCAGGCTCAGTGGCTCAGCCTGCAATCCCAGCATTTTGGGAGGCCGAGGTGAGTGGATTGCCTCAGCCCGCAGCTTCAAGACCTGCCCGGGCAACTTGGAGAGACCTTGTCTCTACAATAAATCAAAAATTAGCCGGGCATGGAAGCACGTACCTGTAGTTCCAGCTACTTGGAAGGCTGAGGTGGAAGGCTCACTGGAGCCCAGCAGGTCGAGGCTGCGGTGGCCAGTAGCAGCCACTGCACTCCAGTCTGGGTGACAGAGTGAGACTCCAACTCAAAAAAAAAAAAAAAAAGAATACATCAAAGCAAAACTGTATCACACCAAAGATAAAGTGATTTCCAACTGTAATTATGTAATCCGGGAAAAACACATATCTTTAAAGTACTGATTAAAGCAAACTTGTCATTCTGGCAATATATATTCAATGAAAGTGCCTTTCAAGTAGTAGGTCAAAATTTAACAAAATTTGAGAGAAAGACATTTGAGAGAATCTAAAACCTGAAAAAGATTAAAGACCAACTAACCCTCTCTAAAATATGTGAAGGAGGAAAATGACTCAAAAATTACTACAGAAGAAGTTTATGAGATGAAAGACAAAATGGTAAGAAAAAATGGTAAACATATGGATAAATTTAAGCACACAATATATAAAACAATATTATAAATGTCTATATCATGGAATTAAAATAAAAATATAGCTCTAATATTGAAAAGTAATAGTATAAAAGTTAGAAGGTGAGTAATTGAACTCAAAACATTCTAAAGAATTTGTTTTGTCATAAAGATAAATATATTTACTTTATTGAGTTTAGACCCAAACATGTATAGTATAACCACTAAAATAATAAAAATAGCTTGCATACAAACTTGTAAAAAAGATGAAAAATTAAATTGAAGAGGAAAACATCGATGAAATTCAATTTAAAAATTAAATTGAATTTTAAAACAATTAAAATAAGCAATTAAAAATGATAAATACAATAAAAATTGAGATATAAATTTTAAAAATAAGGTCATAAAATTAGATATACATTAGATATATATTCTTATGAGGCAAAACTGTAAAGAAATCAATGGAAATGATAGCTCAGGTCATCCGTAATCCCTCTTTCCCATAGGTGAAGCTCCTTTTTTCTAGGACTCCTAAATTTCCTGCCCAGACAGTCTTTATAGGTCCTGAATCATCCTCATTTCAGGTTAGAATACACAAGTCTAGACTTGGAGAGGTGGACATGAGGAGAGTGAGTGGAATTTGTGCATAAAGACAGGGTGCAAGAGTCCTTATGGTGCCAGATGGAAGAGAAAAGGGACAGGATGCAGGTAAGGATGTTCTCCTCCCCCCCCATTCGTACCTTCCCCCTCGTTTGTACCTCCCTCCCCACAAGTATTAAGAGCAAGTCTACTTCCAAAGACTCAGGTTTTCTAATCTTTTTATTGCTACTGTCTTCAAACCCAATTTTGATAGTTTATCTAAGTCCTGCTAATACTCGGTCATTAAATTTAAAATAACCAGTGTCTAGATCCTTCGATTTATACATTTTTAGGTAATTATTATTTTTTAAACAAATATAGCCAAACTGGTCGCTTAACTTTCATCCCTTCTGTAGAGGTTTCAGGCCATCTTCTCTAGAGATAATGCTTTCCCCTAGTCTTATTCATCTTGAAAGCAAAAATTACAGCAATTACATTATTTAATAATTTACCTCCCAGAGGATTTGGAAGTGTACACACTCATTTGAGCCTGAGCTGCTGGATTAACTTAGTTATAATGGATCCACCTCTGTTTTGTTTACCTTAGAGACAGAATTTAGAACACAGGGCCAGTTCGGCTGTGGACTGGGGAAAAGAAAGACAGCTCCACATTTTTCATGAAGCTTGAAATTTTAAATTTCCCATCAATATCCCAAGTGACTTTAAGATGCAATTCTGAATAAGATGGAATGACTTAGCAGTTGCCAGAGCTCTTTAAGTTTTTAAAATAGATCAATCAGAACCCACACTCTAACAAGTGGTCTATCTCAGAAGACAACAAGAGTGCTCTGTGGAGTATAGCTTTTCCTGATGAATAAATTTCCCAAAGTAACAGTTCCTGGTCTAATATTAATATTTAGATTTAAA